TTGTCTCCTTCAAGATTGACTTCCATGTCAAGTTGAAAAGGTCCAAATGCTTTTTAAAAATTCTAATGATTTGGATAGCACACTTATTAGACGGAAATAAATTATCGAACATAAAAAATAAAAAATTAGTCGGTTAATAAATATTTCAAATAATATACCGTTATATAAAACTAATTATCATATTTAAAATAAAGACAATTCTATTTGCAACCTCGACATATTACTTACACGTCATTAACGATATGAATATTTCAGCCATCATCATCATTGTCACCGAAGTAGAAGAAACCGTCGATGTGAGATTGACTATCATGCCTCGTTCATGCATAGGAGCATCTTGTTGAGGAGTAGGTTGTGGACCTAGTGAGGACCATGAAGGCAATGCCGTGAGCATTGGCGCCGATGATGATACCGCCGATATCGATGTAGATTTGTTGACCATGTGTCCGGGGTCGAAGCATTAATACGACCTCTGCCATAGACATTAGATCTAGTCGGATTTAAACGTTAGTTGTGAAGGCTCGAACCACGAGTCATTACACATATAATACCACATCTTATAGGCTTATAACTACAAGAAATAAAAAATAACTCGACCACCTCGGATTCAATATATTTTTTTCATAAGTCAAATAAAATTTTGATAGAGTCTCCTCTATAATTGAATATTGTCAAATTACCAATGACTCAACCTACATAAAAAATAACACTTCTAAAATACATAACACACATTTAAAATACTCAACAGAATAGATGTCATGGCCTATACAATTTCAAGTGATATAATTTAATAAATAGAATAAATAAAAAAATATCTTTATTACTTTGATTTAATAAATACAATGAATAAAAAATATCTATTATACATCAGTTTACTAAATAAAAAAAGATCTTTAATTACTACTGTTATAATCATCATTTAAGTCTTTCTCTTTTTCGGTCGACTCCGATTCATATTCACTCTCATCTTCTTCATTAATTTCATCTCCTTCTATATCTATAAACGATCTATTTCGATCGATCAACGATCGCTCCTCATCATCAACTTGCATCACATTTTTTGGATTTCCAAGCTATCCTTTTGAAATGGTTATGCATGTTGTTAGACCGTGACAAACAACTCGGTAAATCGACTATAGCTTTAGCTTTTATCTTACAAATAGTCCACCAATCACTCTTGTCACACTTTAAGTTAGGATATGTGGCATAATACACTTGGGTCGCTTGAGTCGCTAGAATAAAGGGTTCAAATCTATTGAAAGAGCTTATACAATTAAACCTCTGCTAGTCTATACAACGGATGTACCTTTGTACCATTTGGTGAAGGATCAAACCAGCTATATTTGAACAAAACAAGTCCTCTTAAAAGGTAATACAGGATACTCTAATTATTGAATTTCAATCAACTTACCGTAATAGTTGCTTTCATTTACATTGTTATTAGATATTTTTATGCAAACTTTACCATTCATCCTTGCTCTATCTAAGCTATGGTCTTCGATGTGAACCTTATATCCATTTATAAAGTATTATAGGAATGATATCACTCGTTCATAAAGGATTTTTTACAAGAGCTTTTTATAAATTAGTTTGTCATACAGTTGGCTTATGTATAATATGTTTGTAAAATCGATATGAATGTGCTTAAATTATAGTTAAAAATTAATTAATATAACCTATAAATAGAACAAGCTCTAAGATAAGGATACTTTTGTATTCACTAAACTAGAAGGAAAATTAATCTTTAAGTTGAGCATCAACCTTATCTATAGGCATATATGTATTGAAGGATCGTACATCCTATGGAGGTACGGAATAAAACAAAAATTTTCTCTATCTAAAGGGCCCAAGATCATGTCGTTAAAATAACTAACCATAGATTCATGAATTAAAGTGATGAATAGAGAATTTACCTCTTGTAGCGTAGATATAAACCTTTACATAAAAGAGCCATCCAACTTTCTAACCTCTATCGATAATCTATACAGTCCAAGCATCCATAAAAGAAGCACTCAAAATTGATAGGGTGTTAACTCCATCTTTTCCGACTTGTTTAGTGTTTCCTATACAAATCTAATTAGGGTAATAGTTACGAAAAACCAAAGTAAGAGAGAGGAGGTTGCATGCTAGGGTTAGGGAGAAAATAATTTTCTCCATCTTTTATTTTTGAGTTGGGTGCCCCTAGCTAATTTTCTTATTTTGTCGAATTTTTTCTCTCTTAAAACTTCTAGTTTTGCCACACCTTTCTTCCATATATATGGGAGAGGCTTCTTTGTCCTTGGAGAACAAGAATGCGAGGTAATGAGTCCCTAAAGGACTCTAGGTTGTTGCTTTCTATTCCTCCAAGGATTAGGAGTAATTTTTACATATGGACTTTTGATCTTTATCTTTAAAACATTCATCCTTATCCAATAAAGCTTACATTTATCCTCCTACCAAAATATCTATTAGAACTTTAATTAAATCTATTGGTCTAAAAATATTTTGACCTAATTAATTAATTTGGACTATCTAGATAAATTTAATTAGATAATTTTAGGAGGTCCACATTAGAAAATAGTTTCTCAAATTACCCTTAGACCTAAATTAGGAACTAATTTTCAATTTAGGTTATTCATTCTTAATTTGAAACTAAAGTCCAAATTAGGAAACTGATTTCTAAAATAGAAAACTTTTCATTTTCGAAAACCTTTTCCAAAATAAGAAACTTTCATAATTGAAAACTTTTTACAACATCTTTGCTTCTTTTTAATCATGTGAATGCTTAAACTTATGCACGTGACTCAACAGGATCCTAGATATATTGGTAAAGTATCAAGAATAAAAGATACCTCTTTTATCTCTTGATACCTAAGTCAAAATTAACCTTCGATAAGGTATCATGACTATACAATTCTTTAAGAGGATTAATTAATCCGTAATTACCTTTCATGAGCATGGTAAACATACAATTCAGATCCTCATGTCAACTTATCACGAGTGTGATCTCAAATTTGGTTATTAATCTTGTGATCACGATCACATAAGTTTTCTTCGATTTTTAAATATCTTAGCTCTTAGAGTAAGCTAACAATGCTATATTGGTGTACTCTTACCGTGACTACATATTTCTTAAGTAGACATTCATCAAAGTGTAATATGATAACTCTAGCGTAAAAGGGATGACATGTCTTATTTTAGTCATTCACCTACCTCCATTAGATTCCTATTGTACCCAACAAATCACTCATGTGTAATCCTTTATTAGGTCAATCAAAACGAGAGTCAAAGTACATAAATCCTTTAATGAGATAACCATGATGGTCTCAAGTCTAAGAATCAGCTTGTAACAATCTTGTATAAGATTCTCATAGACTAAACTAAATGGGTTCTTATGGCGAGTCGAGTCCAGATGATATGTTCTCTAACATAAATCACCTAAGTGTTTGCTTTGACATCAATATGCCAATAAGTGTAAGATCTCCTATCGCTATCATATAGCATGAGTATAACACTCACAAGTCTAACCGCATATAGTCAATGTCCATTCTTAACCATGCTATGACTTGAGACATTTGACGATATCATTTATGTGCATTAGTGTTTGTCTCACATCTTTCTATCAATCACTAATGCAAATGAATATCGTATGGACTTCTATTTAATTCTAATCAATGAATAAATGTAAATGACAAGAATTAATAGAAATATTTTTTAATTATAAACAATATAAATGATGCAATAAGATAATAAGTCAAACTCATCCAAACAATGTTAGATCTTAAGCACCTACACTAACATGTATTATTTTGTTTTAGTTAGGTAACGTAAATGCTATCGATAAATAACGACATGCACAAGCAAGTGTCTTTATTATGATTTTTAATTAAAAAGGTCGAATATTAACATTAAATTGCAAGATTTTTTTTTTTTTTTGCACACTTACTCAATATAAGGTTTAATTTCATCCCATTTCAATAATATATACCGATGGACTCGCTTTTAGCTCATCCTTTGTGAACCTCCTTATTGTTGCTTGACCAAATGGTCGATCTTGAGGTTTGAATATAGAAAGCATCGTTTCAATGTTGTCACTCAATTCTCCACTATACTCAATGTTATGTGGCACTTTTCAATGCCTAGTATACACATGAGACTCGAAGTTGTGCGAACAAAATAATGAAGCTTCTTTCATTAAATATGCATTATATATTGACCCTTTAATCTTTGCTTTATTCCTTACATTCCTTTTAAGTTTTCCAAGGTACCTAAAACATTAATTAGGTTAATGATTGATAATTGCAAAATTATTTAAGTTAATATTCAAAATCAATACCATTACCTTTCGAACAAATACATTTATCGATATTGCATTGGTCTCGTTATCTTTACTTCATATGTCAAGTGAATTGAAATATGTTTCATGGAGTCAAAGAATCTTAGTAGAAATATACATTCTAGTTTGCATAAAATTATGAGTATTTTTTCCTCAAAACGCATCATATTTTCAACCCTTATAATAGTAAAAGTTAAATCCTTGAAGAATAACTCAACTCGGTAAATACTTACTAAATATTTATCAATAATATCTCTCGAAATATGATAGGTATTAATCAATACATAAATACATGACAGCTTATGACCTTTCATGTTATAAAATTTGTGTTTGTTAATATCTTTCCCATGTATTTCTCGTTCCCACCTTTGTTGAGAAAAATCTCATTTAGATTTTGGTGACTTGGCCGAACTATTTGAAATAAACAAAATTCTTATAACAATTTGAAAATTGCAAGCTAATGAAAACCGTACATGCCCGATATTTTCTTAAGTCGAAGGAGTTATTTTCTTATTTACAGCCAACGTACATGTACTAATATTTAAATTCTTTTTTATTTGGTATGGGTTGGAAAATATATCCAAATATATGCATCAAGATTCAACGTGAGGCTTTAAGCCCACGAGAATTAATACTTAAAGAAATGCGATTTGGTGGGCTTAAAATAAGGTCCGTTAAAATTAATCTAGTTGGCCTTAACCTTTCTGCATATTTTATAGACGCATGGTATCCATCCAACCGTAATTACATCAAATACTTGGCATGATCCTAACCGTTCTTTATCACCCTCATAAATATCCCATTCTTTAACGAAGATCTTGGAACCAGATGGTCTATTCAGAGTTTCTCTCCAGACATCGTCTGGCCATTCTATTTGCAGACCGCCGCGCAGTATTATGCCAAAGATTTCTATTTGGCGTTCCATTGGACCTACCTAGAAAAATTATCCTTTACACGTGCCCAAGTTCTCACGTGTCAGGACTGCTTATTCTTCCCTTCACGCCTCTCGCTATTGCATCTTTTCTCTGCAGTAGCATTGTCAATATGCAACACTCTCATTGTTTCAACTTCAGCAAAGACCTCGTGTCTACAAAACTATTTGTGATAATAATCATAACCTACATATATATTAAATACTCATCCTCTTTTTATCCAATTTTCCAAACTCATCCTAACTGCCTGCCTAGTGTATTGTGTGAAATAATAGGGAGAAATAGCTCCCGCATGTCCTTTTATTTTAAGAGTTGTATTCAATCGATCCTTTAAAATTGTTGCATTTCTAATCTATCCTTTATGTTAGAATTTTTCTATTCAAACTAATTAAATTACATCATGTGACCTCTACAGGACTAAATTTAGATTTTATATATCCAAAATAAGCATAATTATAAAAAAAAAATGTTAGGATTTTTTTTTTCAAACTTCCCACGTGACTGTACATGTATACGTGCATACATATCTAAGACTTTGAACCTTTGTGCACACATATTTAAAAACAAAAATCACCTGTGCATTTTTTGATTTATCGAGAATAAGAACCCTAAATCCTCTACTAAGAAAGTAAATACACAAATGTCATATTAAAAAATTTAAATTAATCCATAATTAATAATAAATTTCTCTCACTAATTTCCCTCCTCCGATTTTAGTTCCCTCCAAAATTTTCAATTGAAGATCTTTACAGGATATCTACTTATAAAATGCGTTTTCTTTTCTTTTCTTTCCAATGTGAGATAAATATCTCACTTGAAAACACTCTCTTTACCACACTTAACTTATTATCTATCCAAACCATATATTTTCAATAATCTCCCACTTAGTTAATAAAGTTAAATATTTATGGTATCACGTATAAAGAAAGATGTCTCTCGACTTGAATCTCCTTTTAGTATAGTTATCTCAAAGTCTCAATGGAATAAATGGTGTCTAAAGTAATTGAACTATTATCCCTTGTTTTGAAACCGTAAATATCACACATGTGACCTAATCCAACTTCTTTTCGAAATTCTCTAAAATTCTTTTAGCACTTATATGGACATATCATTTTTTTAATGTCAAACACGCATGACATATGTCATGGCCACGTAGTTTTTTTTTAAAAAAAATTATTGTGTGCGACAAATTTAGAAAAGATTTTTCACATTCGTTTTTTTTCTTTTTTTCTTTTTAAAGGAGAGACATTCGGAAAAATAAATGAGTCGATCTACCATGAAAAAGATAATATATGTTAAAATTATAATGTTGAGACTTAATATATCCCTATTAAATTTTCAGACTTTTTATGTGTTTGGTAAGATGAAAATATGTAGATTTTGAATTTTAGAAAGTTCTTTCTCTTTCTAACTTCGTATTTAAACTCATGAAATTATGTAGCATCTATGCAGTATGCACAAGCCAGTTCCTTAATCCTTATTTTTTATGCCCATCATTATTGTCTAAAATCTTCATAAACCCCTCTCTAATAAAATTTTTAATTGAGCATGATCTCTTTACTGCAACATTAACAAAATTTCGTTAATAAAATGAACTATTGGTAGGATACGTTTGTTATCTTTATATTTTACATTTATGTTTTGTCCATGATAATGTTATTTTCATTGAATTTTTGTTTTTGATTTCTTTGAATTTATTATACGCATTGCATAATGTTTTATAATTGATGTTTTAATTATTTCTTTATTTTTTTTGACAATCCAACTTTCTCGTTGGTAATCCATTATTTAGTTTTTTTTTCTTTTGATATTAATTGTCATTAAATGATTTAATCATTTTTTTTTTTGTTTCATAAAATGTTTTTGTGTTGTTGATTTTTAATATGACCAATATTGTTTTTGTTGATGTCATTGCTTTAAATGTTTTTTCATTTGGTTTTTGCTATTTATATTAATTGCCTTTTAGTGCCTACATTAATAATAATAATAAGGATTTTTATCATTACATTAAGATGTCTGTTTGATAATCGAAATGAAGAGGTGGGAATAAAAATAAAAATTTTATTTTCACCTTATAGTCGTTTAGTTGAAAGGAATAAAGTGATAATGAGAATGAAAATTACATACAAATTCATTCTCATTTAAAATATAGGAATAAAAACAAGGAATGAGAATGAATTTTTTTAAAAAAATAATATTATTATTTATTTATTTATTGTATATTAACTACTTCTACCACCACCACCACTCTAACCATCGTCGCCGCTGCTGTAACCATCGCCACCGCCACCACTACTACCACCACCAACACCAACACCAAAGGTAGCAACAACACTACCACAAGCACCACCACAACCACGACTCGCCACCGCCACCGCCACCACAATAGGCATCGCCACCAACTCCACCACCATAAGTACCTTTATTATTTTTACAACCATTATAGTTTGATAAAATTATTTTCTTAATCATTATTTTTATTTTTATAAAAAAATAGATATTAAAAAAAATTAAATTACATTCTGATTCCTTGTTAGTATTCTAAACACAATATGGGAATATGAATATCATTTCGATTTACGTATTCCTATTTCGAACTTTTCATTCCTAGTAATTAAATGAAACCTAATTGTTTTTTTATCGTTGCTTATTTTTCTCGCATTAATTAGCCTTCAACCATTAAGGCTATGGTAATTTTAACTCGGTAATGAGATGTGTGCTTCAAACACGTGACATGTAACATGATGACTTTTTCTTCTTCTTCTTTTTTCATGTCATATATAATATTTTCTTTGGTTATTATATTAAAAACAACTACAATAATATTAAATAATTAATTATTTTATTATTAAATAAATTTAGTTACTATTAATATTTATTACAACCATTACTATCCATTATATAAAGTTACTAGTTTTTGTGAGTTTATTAAAAAACTTAATTACAATTAATAATTAATTTTTCAGTCGTTCTCTCTTTATATAAACATAAATATTCTTAAGCATTTGGTATTAGGATAAATAAAATAAATAAATAATGATGCTTTTTATTAAGAAGTAGTGTTTTGGTTTTAAAATGTTTAAAATCCATTTGGCTATGAAATGGAAGAATGAGTACAATTAATATAATTAATCATTTCATATAAAATAATTTTAATCATTATTCATATTTATTATAATCATTAATAGTCATTATATAGTTACCAACCTTTGTAAGTTTATTTAAAAAATAAAATGTAATTTAATAAATATTTTGTTATTTATTTTCATCTTATATAATTATATACATTCTTGAACATTTAATATGAAAAGAAAAATAAAATAATAATATATATTTTTTAAGAACTAATGTTTTAATTTTAAATTTTTTCAGCTTACAAATTAGTTTGTGACACGTAGTTTTGTTGGTTGGTTAATAAGTAGTATACCTTTAATTCTTTAATTAAATAAACCCATAATTAAATGAAATAAAATAAAAATCATTGTACATGCATGTGGGAACATAGATTTAAAAAAACTTTGCTTTCTCTTCTAAAGAAACCACTAAAGTGGTACTACTTAAGGTCTTTATCTAGGAAATGAATAATTATTAGTAAGAGGTTAAATGAATTTAGTGAAGGCTTTACTCGAATCTAAGAAAAGTTATACCTAAATTTTTCTTAAGATGGACCTCACATCTCATACTCATTAGGGACCTCAATAGAAAAATTGCCCACTCGTTAATGAAACGAGACTATTAAGGAGATGAGGCTTTTTGACTTACATTCATTACACTCCGAATGTAAGTTTACATTGGTAATATCCGCGATCTATTTAGGTTCTAGGTCGGAGGTGTTACACTTAAGATGGTGCCACATTGCTTTATCGGGCTCTTGGAAGTGCATTCTACCCAACACTCTTAAATCATCCCATAGAGAGTTTGTTTAAGCTTCTGAGCGCTAGCTCGTGTCACTCGGATCATTTTTATTTATTGGGTAATTGATCAAATCTTGGATTTGCAAACTCATCATCTTGGATCTCCATTAGAGACACTACCTTGTTGGTCCGTTTGGCTCCGTTTGGCTCGTTCGCTCTTGGTTTCCATCGCTCCCTCCCTCTTTAAAAGGATTCATCCTCGAATCTTCATCGTTAACATCTACATCAAAAGGAAAGAGATTAGAAACATTGAAAGTAGCATAAATTCCATACCCATCCATCAAATCAAGCTTATAAGCATTATCATTGACTCATGTTACCACTTGAAAAGGGCCATCTCTTACAACTAGAACACTATTGAGTTGGAAAACACTCCTTGTGCATATGCACCTAAACCCTATCTTTAAAATTCAGAACATCTTTATTTAAGAAGGAAAGACAATAAAGAAAAGATTTGATTTCATCTATAATAAAAAAGGCTTCAAAGTCAATTCCTTTTTTTTTTCATTAAAAAAAATAATAGTGGGTGGTAGTTATGAAGGATAATACATCCTATGAAGGTGTAGAATAAAATAAAAAACTTCCTCCATTTAAAGGGCCCAAGATCATTTCGTTGAATCAACTAACCAAATATTGATGAATCAAAACGATGAGTAGAGAATTACCTCTTGTAACGGATCTAAACCTTTGCGAAAAGAGTCGTCCAAGTGTTCGGTCTCTATCGATAAACCATGCAATCTAAGCACTCACAAAAAAAGCACTTAAAATTGATAGAGTGCTATCTTCACCTTTTCTAACTTGTTTAGTGTTTCCTATAAAAATTTAATTAGGGTAACTTTGCGACAACCCTACGAGAGAGAGGAAAAAGGTGGCGTGCTAGGGTTAGGGAAAAAATAATTTTTCTCTTTTTTTATTTTTGAGTCGTGTACCCTTAGCTATTTTTTCTCTTTGTCGAATTTTCTCTCCCCTAAAAATCCCTATGTTTGTCATACCTCTCTCCCATATATATATAGAGGAGAGGCTTCCTTATCCTTCAAGGAAACGGATGGGTGACAATAAGTCCCTAAAGAACTCTAAGT